CAGAGATAATCACTTTGCCATGAAGTACATCTTGGTGTACCGTCTTTGGGAAAAACTCTGGTCACAATAACAGGATTCCAAAGCAAAGTCCTTCACAGTGGCTACAAGAAACATGAAATGAGTTCTCAAACTCACCAACCTGGTTTGGTGGAATTCTACTGAAAGTCATCCTATTTAACATAGTAATACCCCCCCAGTAAAAGAATGCACCTATCAACAAGAGCCCAAACCTAATACTGTAATTCTCAGTCACAAAATTCTGAAAACTACATTCTAAAGAAAACTGTCTTTACTTAAAGGAACTAACAGAGAGATGAGACAGAATCACAGCATAAACAAAAGGTGTGGCAATAGATGATCTGAAAGAGACAAGAAACTACCTTTGTTCTTTGGGAACTGAAGCAAAGGCTGATGAGAGAGAACTGGAGAAACAGAAATCTTATCTAGACCTGCACAGAGTTTAACAGTGTTCACATACCAACAACTGATTACTCTTACTCTCCTATAACTGAAATGTTTATACTTCTAACAACAAATTGCCAATAACATCAAGTTCACTTTACCCTCCTTGCGACAAAAGACTAAAGGTGTGAAAATGATGGTATCAACACTTTGTTTTTCTTAGATCACATTTTTAAAAGAGCGCTTGCCTATCACTGTGGCAGAATCTGCCAGACACAGCAACTTTGTGTTAAAGGTTACTGTGCATTGTCAAACTGTATCACCAGTTCTGCCAGCCAGTGTGAGTGAAAGGGCTTTATCAGGGAAGCAAAAGATGAACATTCTGCTTTGGAATTCTACGAGACAGAACTCCCACACCACCTTCCTTTAGGGCAGATATGAAATATTTAGTCTTCCCATGCACTTTATAAAATCATCTGGAGGTTTAGCATTTGCAAGAGACTTCCTTTCAGTTGTAAAAACAAAGCAAATAAGTAAGTTTTAAAATATTCCCCTTAATTATCAGAAGAAATAGTCTACAAACATTCTCTCCCTTCCTCATTGTTCACAATGCTCAAGAATTGTGATCTGATTGCTGCAGTCTGCTTTAACTATAAATGTTTAATAAGAATACTGGCATGGTTCTTGTTACAGGGGGTTGCAACTAATACCAGAGCAGGAGCTGAGATGTAGAGCACCTGGTGTTCTTTAGATCACAGGTGAATGGAAAAATCCCCAGACAGAAGCAGCTGGCTTTGAGCTATCTACGTAGGCACAAAGATCTATCCATGTGGCATTTCTAGTTAATAAATACCAAGTGAAGAGGCATTTGAACTAAGTCAAAAATTCATTGGCCATTGTGGAAGTATGACAGTATTCGAATCCATCAGAATAGTTACAGCCATAAAACCAATCACTGTACACAATAACCTCTAAGTTGTGACGATCTGCTGTACTTTGAGCTCAGTGACAGACTGCCTACTATCAGAGCTCAACGAGGTTCCAAGTCCTTTCATTTCTACCACAGGCCTTACCTGCAAGCAGGTGAACGGAGCTGAAGCTCTTCTCCAGTTTACCCAGAAGTACAGTGAGAAAACAGTCTGAAGACAGAGAGTCAACATCCTGGGAGCTCTGATCGTAAACTACAACCTTCTGACTGCAATCAATGTCGACCTAAAATACAAATGTGAAGCTGTTAGGAAGGAAGGTGAGAAAAACAATCCCATAAACTACTGATGCTGAAGCAAATAGTGCTTTCTGTTTCCAATTAATAATTTGAATAAAAATGAGATACAGTCAACTTACTGGATAAACCTAGCATACATATGGCTTAAATGCTTGGAAAAAAAAATCAACTTTTAAAAGTTGACTTGATACTATTTCTGTGTAGATGTGCTCAAAACTACTTGGTTTTAAATCCTTAACACTACAAAAGGGTAAAGCATAACAATCCTTGAAATAAACAAAAAAATTTTAAAAAATGTTTTCTATACAACAACAAAGAAATCAGTTGTTTAATAAAATTAAAACATGAACTCATTTTTATTCCTGAAGAAATCACCTTATCTATCACAAAGATGACATTTTGTATCCTAGGAATAATTCCCTGAAAATAATATCCATAAGTCTTGACCGATGTTACTTTACCTTCCTGCAAATCAAAAGCACTTTCTAATATAATTTTTTCTAGTGTACTTTCAAGGCAATTGAAAAGGATGATTTCCTTTCAGTAAATTTGCAGATAATACAAAATAATGTATTAACATATTATCAATACATATACTATTATATATTAATACACAATTATCAAAGTAATTATCAATAATATAATTATTAACCGTAACTTTGTATTAGTGTTTAAATTAATAAAACAATTTTAGCAAGCCATTAATGGAAAAACAGCACCTGACCAAATTAAAATAAGCTAACCTCTCTGTATAGTTTAGAAATATTCTTAAATGTGACAATATGGCTAACAAATTCTTTTGAGGTATCATAAGGTACCAAAGTTTAAAAAGCAACCAAACTTATTCAAATTATTTTCTCCCCTTATAAAAGGAGGCTTCATTTAAAATTATTCCCCACTCAAGCGTGTCCATTTATTGTAAAAAGGGAAAAAAGAGCATTTACCTTATGTTTCGCTGAATGCTGGATGAGTTCTGTAATCAACACTTTGTCCTGTTGCAACCTTCGCTTCATAAGCTTGGAGCAGTTGATATTAATGGCTTCCAAAATGTGGGATGTATTATATTCCACAAATGGCCGGCTATCAATTAGCAGCACTTTTTCTGTTCCACTTTCCAGCAGAGCCACCAACCTCTCAGTAACAATCTGAGTCCCAATCATCTCATGGGCCATGACAACAGTAAGTCTTCTTTTCCCACCTCCTCCTTTAATTTGCCACGATGATGTAACGGTGTGCTCAACGGCTCAGCCACTCCATTGTACTAACACGTATGAGGTCAGGCTGGTGGTGACTGGCAAAAGGAGAGTTAAACCCATTTTCAGCAAGAGTCCTCCAAGTGAATGTCTCTTTCTCTTTCCCGTTGATGTGCTCTTGCAAGGGACTCCTTCCACAAAGCAGCCCCTTACATTTGATTCATAAAGAGATGACTGAAATAACCATCCCACAACAAAAGATGCTTTGGGGCAGCCGGTACATTACATCATTCTTTACCTTTGCTCCCTCGCTCCAACAGCCTGACACACTGGACTGAAAAGCCTACACGAAGAGAGAGAGACAGACAGAAAACAAAACAAGGGGTCAAAAAGGGAAAGAGCATCGGATCAGAGAGAGTGTATGATTCACAATATTTACTCCATTAATCTAATTCGGTACTTGATGCACTGTTTCATTTGAACAAACAAAGGACAATTGGGTATGGCTTCAGAAAAGCATACTAATGATCATTCAGTTTCACCTCAACATATAAAAATGCAGAGAAGACAAAACAAGACATATTCTTGAGTTATAATCCCTGGGGGCCTGGAACTAAATGAGTGACAGCATGACACTGTAAGAGCTATATAAAGCTGCCTGAAGTATTATTATTCCAAATGGGTATTCTCCATTTTCCTTGCTTATTTCTTTAAAAATAACACAAAGAACAATAGCCAAAAGCCAGGGAGCCATCCCTTATTTTCAGAACAACAAAAAAACCCTTTTCTGGTGGCTTGAGAATTACTGTAATAGTATGAGCGTGCACGCATTTAAGCACACACACGCAAACACACCAAGGCGCAAATAGCACACACCCCTTTAAATTGCCCTCAGGGAGGAGAGGAGAGGCAGCAAAAACAGGAGGTTCTATAAATTTCAGCTGCCTTTTAAGGAAGAGGGATGAAAATGGCTGATATCCTTGCCATCCCAACTGCTGAGCTAACTGTGATGTACCCAGGGCCTGTGATGTACCCAGGGCCTGTGATGGACCCAGCTCCATCCAAGACAGTCTCAGCTATAACCCTGGCCAGTCCCCCCAAACCTCCTCTACTCTGGAGTTCCCTGACCCTTCACAGACTCACCCCTCACTTTCCTGTGCCTCATTCTTGAGAGAATCCCTGACTCCTACCTTAGAATATCTCACACCTTAGCCTGGGACTCCAGGACAGCAACCTACACATACAGAGCCCTTCATACTAGACCCAGTGCTTCTCTGCTCTTGCCAAACTCCTATAATCCACCATTTCCTAATTAACACTAGTTGGAGTTTTGTGTCCATAGCTTGGACCTCACCCCCAACCTTCAATATTCTCAGATTCCTATCTCCCCTGGTCCATCTCTGCTTATATGAAATTCTCTACTCCATGAAACCAGATGTCTATGGGCATTCAACTTCTAGGGATAAACCACTTGAAGGCAGAGGTTTTGTAATGCCTTTCTTACCTCCACAGTGTTTTACACTTAAGATAATTTGCACTGTTGTAAGTAAAATCCTCCTTGCTCCAAAAACAGTTTAAGATAGTGAATGAATATCTGATTACTTGATTTCAGATCAGGATGGAAGAGCCCTCAAAGATCACTGGGTCCCACTTCCTAATTTTAAACTTACAAATTAGAAGCTGAGGCATGGAGAAGAGGTAGCAGAACACAGAGAGAAGTGGCCTTGCTATTTACATGTTACATGACTCTGGACAAATCATGTAATCTCTCCGAACCACAGTTTCCTCAGCTAGAACATGTGGATGTAATATTGGCCTTGTCTCCTCACAAAGTCCACAAAGTCTGTTTTGAGGGCAAAATTATCTAAGTTCTCTAAAAGTGAGTTAGTGAAAAAGCAACTGCACATCATACAGAGAAAGGAGGGGAAATGGTGAACAGAGCTGACCTGCATCTGGAATCTAGAAGAGACCACTAGGCAGATAAAACCAGAAGCAATTCCATCTTCCCACAGTCCAGCTTCAACCAAGCTGTATACTTCATACAGAGCCAGACACACAGAAGGCATCTGAGACATCATCTCACCCACCCCCACATTTTACACATCAGCTCCACAGACTACATTGTTTGTCCATTTCTTGTCTTCATTATATTAAGGTACTTATTTTTAGTATAGCTTAATGGCAATGAGGTACAAAAGTCATCTGTATTTTCAAATGAAGAAACTAGAGTGGAGAATTTGTCCTAGCCAATCAACTAATGCATTTGCAAAGTACCTGCCAAGGATATAGCACTGAATCAAGTCCTGACTGCTCAGCGACTCAGTTCACAGCGATGTAAGGTCCTGTACTCAGATAGTCTGATTCCCAAACCAGGGCTCCTACTACTGGGTTACCCTGTTTTCCCTAAGTACCCGTCCCATAATGAAACTGAACTGAGAAAGAATGACGCGACTTGTCCATGAGGATGCCCGGGTGGCACAGAAAATGGAAATCCGAGAACAAGAGCAAGGCGACTCCAACAATGGCACTGAGTCTCCGAGTCTGATTGGCTCCTCGAAATGATAAAATCCAGTTGGGACAAAGCAGTTATCTGGGTTAGCAGATCGAAGGACAAAAGGAGGGAGATGACAGCAAACATGCAAAAGCTGAATTAGAAAGTTCTAGTCTTTGCTTCTCTTCAGCCAAATCTCATAAGCCCAAATCACTGAAACCAAAGATAGGCTACCACAAACAGTTTTACTGGGCAGAAAATGGTCATTCTTACCCAGAGAATCAGAGCCAGTAGTTCCAGATACAAAAACACCCTTTCCTGACCAAGCAACAGTCTGATCATAGTGTCCCTAATATGAGAAAGTGAAGCAAAGAAGTGGAAGTGCAATGAGGATCCTTGCCAGCTGGAGCCCACCTCTTATGCCTTTATGCCCAACATCTAATTTTTCCCAAATCGATTATGTGAGAGGCATGTTAGCTGTCATCTTCCTTCAAAAGAAAACTACATAATCCTTTTCTATACATACAATAAAGCTTTCTATTTCTCTAAAATAAAAAAGTCAATAAACTAGTATTTATCATACTGAAGACCAGTAGCCTTAACCAAGGCCACTAAACAAATATTTGCAAAGTATCTCATAAATAAAGGTTCCAAAAGACTATTTACAAAGGTTTAGAGATAGGCTGAGGCAACATTTTAGTATAACAAAATGACTATACAAATCAGGGAACAAAATGGGCAAATCCCCTAAAACAATGCCAATTTGGGTACAACTTACATTCCAGCAAACAATTTATGTTTCATATTTTATAACATTTAATATTAACATGAGTTGCATAAGAACCTCCCCCTTTAATATATAATTGTTAAAGTTTTTCTGTGTCACTTATTTTATGTTTTAGATTTCACTTGGTGACATATAGAAATGTATCCTTGATTTTATAATGGAAATCAGTAGTTTTATTTATTGAAATTCATTCTGCCTCCTACTTTGCAGAAATATCAGTGAAATAAAGTACACTACTGAATTAGTTATGTCAGAGAATCACAAGTCAGGACTATTTTAATGATAAGGTAAACTTGTGGAAGGAACAATATAAAGTCCAAAAGTATAAAAACCAATATTTGCTATTAATTAGCTAAGAGGAAAAATGTTTTATTTTGATTTTCTTCAATACTTGCACCTTTAAAGCTGGTGCCAACCAGAAAATTTTAAAAAGACTAAGGTTCTTTTAAATGATTCTATTAAGTATCTCTCTAGTCTTCGCAGATGGGGCATCAGTCTTTTCAACTTACCAGACCCAGTCCTGGCTTCTAGGTCAGGCATACTGACACTAGGTATAACACACACACACACACACACACACACACACACACACACACACTGACACTAGGTATAACACACACACACACACACACACACACACACACACACACGAGAGCACCTTTCTCACATACTGTTTCCCCATCAGGTTATTTTCTGTCAACAGCCGGGCACTGCTGCCCTAACATACCCACCCCACGTTCCACATAAGGCCCACAGCAGGGAGGGTCAGGGTAAAGCTCCATGAACATGCCCACTGGTCTGAAAAGTGGGACCTGTGAGAAGGCAAGGGTTACTCCTCCCAGAGGCACATTTCCATTTTAAGCACTTCCTTTTACAAAGAAATTCTCAGGAGAAGGAAAAGGATCCTATGGTTATGGGGTGCTTAAAAGGCCTGTTCAGTGAGGAGAGCAACTGAGCCTTATTTGGTTGGGCTCAAGCTCAAGTTCAAATTCTCAGAAAATTTATGGGAAGGATATAATCAGGTGAGAAGTTTACTTTTATTAAACTACACGCTAGTCTTAAATTTTTTTCCCTTCAATAAAACTGAAGAAATAGGCAACAAGATACACCAAACAGCTTTTCAGCAGAGCCTTAAGCATAGACTTCCAATAACAGAAAAACTGAACAAATCACAAGGGGACAAAGCACGCTACAATGTCTGGAAGCAAGAACAGCCTGCACGTTGACTGTCTTCGTTCTACATCGACTAAAGCAACTCTGCCTCATAGGCTGAGGGTTAACCCTGGCAGAAATTCTGAGGTCTGATATTTGGTAAAAGATATTCAAATTTTAAAAAACTCCACCATATTCACCAAAGCCAAGAAGGCTATATGAGCTTCATATGCTTTTCAGGTGCTTATTAATGTCTTGACTGTATTTTCTTACCCCCAAATAGAGGACACATATTCTGACAAGTGGTGGCAACAATGGGACAGACTGCTTTGAAGCACAACTGCTATATAGCACTAGACATGGCAACAACACCTGTTAGCTCAGTAATATCCAGCCACCTCGCACTAACCCAACAGCACTGTTGAAAGAACCACTCCTATCAGAGGCTCAGGCTGTTTATGTACATCTCAAGAATCCACAGATAAAGGCTGGAAGAGCTGCCATCCAGCAAAGACTAAATATAATGCCTTTGCCGCAGACACAGGCCAGCCCAGGCAGAGGCCAGGTCTGAGAGAAGTGAGAGCACCGCACTCTTGGAACTGGCTCAGGTGGAGCCCCCATCTTTCCTTCTTAGCAATGCCTCCTATTTATGCTCACCTATTTGACCGGCTTCTCCTTCCCTAATCCACCTGAGCTCTCCTCTTCCTTCTACGAGACCATGTATCTATCCTAGACACAGCTCTTACCCTCCATGGTTCCCTCTCCATTTAATGCTTCCTCCGGGCATCCTGCCTGAGAACTAAGGATTCTCCCCCACTAGAACAGGGGCCTGGAGATGAGGTGGTCCTGAGGGAGTGCGAATGGAAGGATCCCTGGATGGAGTCACTGGGCAAGAGAAAATGTGGCCAGGGGA